AAACACACTCACAAGCAATGCACCTGCCTCAGCTTGGAACCTGTGGCGATTATGCTGTGTTGACTTCACCAATGACCATTGCGTTGGACACTTGAATGCTGATATCATATCTAGCCAACCTGAGCCTATAACACAATTTGAGTCCGCTGCTGAGGCCTCGTCGACTTCCTCACTCAGTGCTCATGCGGCCAGCCAAAAAAAAAAGCCGCACGATGATACCGAGGGCTCGCCCTTCTCCCAATCCCCTATAAACATGCAACCTGCACCCCCGAAAACACTTTGACTTCTTCCCAGCCATGTTGGATGACTCCCTTAGCTTTGTCATTGTGTGCCTCCAAAGACCGAGGGCCCCTGAGAGCTTCCCCTGAACACTCTTTCGGAACACAACACCGGGAGCATGAGGCTGAAAAACCACCTACGGGTTGCTAAAAGAGCGCCAAGATTGAAGCTTTAATTGGCGCCCAGGAACATAACGGGTTTGCTTCTGGCGTTCCTCTTTACGACAAGCAAAGAAGGATAAGGCTTTGGATACTTTGCCGACATGTAGTCTGCGAATGACGGCTGGTGTCTTCTCCAACGTTTCTGAGACCATGCAATTACTTCCGGCATGTCGGCGCACACACACACACTTTCTTATGCGCAGCCGCCTCTAGAACAAACAGAACAACAAAATATCACACCATGAAAACACACACCAAGAAAAGCAAAGCGTCTAGCCAGCATTGGAACCGTTTTCATCACTTTACAGGGGGGGACGAACGAGAACAGTGAAACTTGCCGCCCGTCAGGATTCTTAAACACAAATCAGAACAATACACACCAGGCCCCCCGATGGCCGGTAATTGGCGTCCCGGGTGAAGTGCCGGCAATTGGCCAGCACTTGCTTAAAAATGGTTTTGTAGTCACATAGTTATTTTTGGCATCATCAAAGTGCAGTGAAAAGTCTCTTTTGTTGAAACGCCACTTCAGGATACTAGATGGGATCCAATTGAGGGGTTGGGCTGGCATGTGTGACCATTGCACATGCAACGCGCGGGGGGGGGCGACACGCTGGTGACACGCTCATATCCCAAAAAAAGTGACCGTTCAACGTACATGTGCCGGCAATTGGCCACCCCCCGACACGCCGTGACACGCCGTGACACGCTCCTCAAGAACCCCTCCCAACCTCAAACTTGCCCTCCAAACCTCAAATTTGCTGCTCTCCCCTTTCCCCTGCAACCCCATTCCAAAGGACCCTGAAAGGTCACTTGTATCATTGCACAAATTGCACTAAGTACAGATGAGTGATACTTGATAGCAAATTGCTTTTGCAGTCACTTAGACAAAAAGTGACATCGTTTTGCCCAAGATCGATGTGCCGGCAATTGGCCAGCCATTGGGGGGTGCAGCTTTAGTCATGGCAGCATGGCACCAACAAGCTCTTCTCATTCCCTAGGTGGATTTGCCAGTAGTAGTCTGAACATCTGTGCCCAACCAAGGCTAACTTCAGCAACAATTCCTTGGTGTGAATTGCGCAGCCCCCCCAAGTAATCCAACTGCTTGCAAAACAAGAAAGAAAGGCTACCAGTCTGCAGAGGGCAGAGCTTCCCCGTTTCCACGTTCTTTTGCAATGTCTTCCCCACCGAATGAACAAGAACATGGAACCATCAATGGAATTCCAGGGCGAAATCTACCCACATTTTTTAGGAGATCCGGTGCAAATGTGCCGCGCTTTTCGCTTGCTTCTTTTGCTGACATGACATCCTCCAGCCAGAAGGGCTGCAGCATCTCCAGCTGCTTCTGGCTGAGTTCCTTGCGACGAAGCAGCTGCCGCACCTTCTCGCACCGCTCGTGCTGCAGCTGTTCTTCCAGTTCTTCCTCCGTCAGATTACTGCCTGTCGCAGGCTAAGACTTTTTGTTCCCAGGGGTTTATCCTGCCCTTTGCTTTAATTACCGACCCAACGCTGTGTTACGATGCCCCGTTTTGTAAACCCGCCCAGCCTGCTTCAAACGAGCGCGGGCGGCGCTGATGAGCGCGAAGCCAATCACAAAGATCCTCCAGCCAGTCCGTGCGAGGCAGTCGCACGGGGTGACCGGATGGTGAGCTGGGTTTGACCAGGTCCCAGACAGGCCACACCAGCTCCATGTGCTCCTCACCTCAGATGCGTGGGTGTTTTTTTTCCACGGGAAAAAAGGAATCGGCATCTTTTTCTTGTTTTTTGGTTGTGGTTGACTGTAAAGGGGAACCCAAAACCCAAAAAAGAAGGAAAAACGGCCATTGGCAACCCTTCCCAAAAAACGAAGCACACAAAGGAAGCAACCCACTGGGCAACTGGGTCACTCACCGCGTCTTGCCCCAGCAGCCTCCGAAGCTGGCAGCCGCGTCTGTATTGAAGCAGCTCTGCACGCTCCGTCTTGTTCAACCCGCGCCTTGAGGGAAAATAGCGGGGTCTGCGTTTGTGAAGGCGTAGCCAGGAGCACATGTCCTCCAGCCATGCTGACCGCGAAAGTAGAACAGAGTTAGTTGAATTACCAGGCTGTATCAGCTCCCAAACGGGCTGCAACATGTCGAGGTGCTCCTGCCAAACTTTTCCCTCCCGGAGCAGCCTCCGTAGCCGTTCGCAACGCGTGTACTGCTGGCGTTCAACGAGCTGTGCATTGTTCAAGTCAAACCTTCCCTGAAAACGGCCTGGCCTGCGCTTGTGCAGGCGTAGCCAGGCACACAAATCCTCCAGCCACTGCGAAAGGGAAGCGCTAGGCTTTATCAGTTCCCAAAAAGGCTGCAACATGTCAAACTGCTCCTGACTAAGGGTGTTCTGCCGGAGCAGCCTTCGCACTGTGCCGCAACGTGAAGATTGAAGTCTTTCCGCAAGCTCCGTCTTGTTCAAGACGCCCCTTCTTCGAAAACAGCGGGGCCTGCGCTTGTGGAAATGTAGCCAGGCGCACAACTCCTCCAGCCATACAGACCGCGAAAGTAGAAGAGCCTCAGTTGAAGTTCTCCGCTTTATGAGGTCCAAGAACGGCTGCAAAGTCTCCAGGTGCTCCTGCCCAAGCTTGTTTTCCCGGAGAAGCACTCGAAGCGTCCTGCAACGCATGCACTGCCGGCGTTCAACAAGCTGTGTCTTGTTCAAGTCAACCCTTCCTTGAAAGCGGCGTGGCCTGCGTTTGTGCAGGCGTAGCCAGGCACACAAATCCTTCAGCCATACTGAACGCGAAGCCTGTGTTGAAGTGCTGGGCTTTAGTAGCTCCCGAAAAGGCTGCAACATGTCGAACTGCTCCTGACTAAGCTTGTTCTCACGCAACAGCTTCCGAAGCATTGTGCTCCGCCAATATTGCCGCTTTTCTTTCAACTCCGTCTGGTTCAAGTCAATCTGTGTTCCGAAACGGCGTGGCCTGCGCTTGTGGAGTCGTAGCCAGGCACACAAATCCTCCAGCCATCCTGCTCGCTGAAGCGAAACAGCAGCGTCTGGCAACACATACGGCTTAATTTCGCTCCAAACCGGCTGCAACATGTCCATGTGCTCCTGACTAGAAGCTTTTTGCCTGAGCAGCTTTCGGAGCGCGCAGCAACGACCAAATTGAAGGTATTCCACACGCTCCGTCTTGTTCAAGCCGGCGCTTGATCGAAAATAGCGGGGCCTGCGCTTGTGGCAACGCAGCCAGCCGCGCAAATCCTCCAGCCATGCCACATGCTGGGGCTCCTGCGGCTGAAGCCGTGCTGGGACGGAGCTCTGGAAGCATGGCGACCGACTGTGAAGCCGCCAGGCCGCGCAAACGAAGAGCAACCGCAGCCAGCGGCCCATGGCTCCCCGGCTGCGTGGCGGCATGGCTTCCCTTCCCGCCCTGGCTTCACGGAAAGCCCCTTGGGCAGCAGCAAACGTGTGTTCGAAGAGGGCATGCTGGTTTCGTTGACCCGCTCGGGAAGGAAACCGGAAACCAGCTTCTCACTTCCTAAGTGGACTGGCCAAGAAAAGTAACCCGACCTTTTTGCCTAAACCACCAAAATGGCCCAAACCCAAAAAGTATGAAGTCAATGAACTCAGGAAGTGAGGCTTTATAGCACAAACCCACATGCCGACATGGCATGCGACGGGACAAACTTCCAGCTGCGCCCGAGGACCACTTCTGTGTTGGTCTGTTGGCGCTACTTCGTTGACGAGGCCCCCGGTATCGAATTGCCAACCCAACCATCGCACCACTGAAAGGAACATGCTTTAAACGGCCATGAATCTGCAATGCTTGATTTGCGTCATGAAACAAATCCAAGAACCCTTGCAAGAAGTCAGGGACTGGCTTCGGCCGACCGGAAGCGTGGAGCAGAGTTTCCGGGGCGGCCCGACTAGAGTGTCAGAATTTGATCAGGGATCCTCACACTACACACCTGAATATTGCCTTGTAAATAGTGGTTTCCCTTTCTTGTGGTGGAAAAAGCCATGTTTCAACTGGAAAAATGTATCTTTTAAGTAGCCCTGTTGATCTTAGGCCATTCCAAAGCGACTGATGATCAAATGAGCGCCCCTGGACCTTGTAGTCCGCAAATAAGCCACGTCTGGCAAGGAGTACATCTCACTTGCTGCGTGGGAGTAACCCAAAACAGTCCAAACTTGTTGTTTACCACCAAAATAACAACCACCCCCAAGCAGAGATTAAAGTCCAAAAACGGATTTCAGGACCTCAAGTAAGTCTAATAAGGCAAGCCACGCCCAATGAGTCAACTTGTCGTTTGGCCATGGCAAGTGACACATGGGCCAATCAGCTTCCCCCTTGGTTTGGCGCTTTGGTGGGGGCTACAAGAACCAGGGACCCGTTCAACTCCATATCCAAACCAATCTCCAAACCAACCGGACGGCTTGCCTGAGCCAAGGTCCGCGCCCAAAAAAAACAAAACGCAATCCAAATCACCAACCTGACGGCCTATACCTGAGCCAAGGTCTGCGCAACCTTCGAGCTCCAAACCACCAACCGGGAGGCCGAACTCCCATCGCCATCCGTGGAAAAAAAGAAAAACGGAGAGGCTCCTGGCAGCCTCCAGCTCCATGTCCGGCCCCTTCCGGAAGAGCCAGTCCTTTGGATCCCCGATCTCCGGATCGATGCTTCGCCCGGCGCGGTGTCTGTGGTGAGCGCCAAAATTGGGACTTTTTTCCACCCCCTGAGAACAAGGTGAACCCCACTGAACGGGGGAGTCCTCGCTTCCCGGATCTTCGGATGGTTCGTGTCTGTGGTGATCGCCACTGGTTTTTTGTTGTTCACCCCTAGGCGAACTTGGCCGAACAATTGCGTTAAGCCCTTGGCTTGGCCGGCCAGCCGGCTGGGAGAGTAATATTGACGGATCTAAGTAGAAGCCCTCGTTTATGCATAGGGTGTATCCTTTTACGGGGGGTTCAGACCTCTTTTGGAGGAAGCACCCTATAAATAGGATGGGTTATACTGAGATACTTAGATCCGAAGGGTCAACATTGCAAAGCTCAACCCTACGTTTCCTCTTGACACCTTCTTTGGGACCCGCTTGGCATACTCTTAGGATCAGATCAATGCGGACCATGCGACTCACAGTGGCTCCCGACAAATTGATGGAGTCTTCGCTCGAAAGGGAACCGCATGGTCCCCCTCAGAGTAATTCAAGTTCACACAACCTCCGTGAGAAAAAGCGGCACAGTTCGGGGAACCGTGCCTCTTTCCAACGCAGTTGCCTAGGAAAGGCCAACCCTGCTTTCTAATTAGCAAGGCAATCTAGGTCCTCCAGTAGAGAGGTTGGAATAAGGGTACCCTTTTTTTTCGTAGTCTATTTTAGTAGGAGAACCCTCCCAACCAAAGAAGAGAGAGAAGGGCACTGCTGGGGCACCCAGCAGTCAATGCGGCCGAAAGGCAAAAAGCGGCAAAGCATCTGAAAGTCCGAAGACCAACATTGCAAACAAGACAGGACGCCACAAGAAATATCACAAGGGAAACAGAAAACAAAACACAAAGCAGGACAAACAAAAATGAGAACTCAGAACATTCCAAAAAACAACTCGTAACCTACAAGCAAGCAAACGAAGGATAGTGACACGGGTACCCTTCAGAATCGCATACCCTTTGTTCTCTGTCATGTTCAACCATGGACGGACAGCTCACAAGTGGCACGGGCTTCGGTGCCCAGCCGCAACATCACCTACTGATTTTTCAAACCCACAGCATGAAACATGCTGCACCGACTCAGTGCTTCAACAAGCAACCATACCATCACATGCAAAAAATACGAACATGTTCCTCATAAAAGCATAAAAGGGATGACCTATACGCACCTGTGGGGGGACTGAAGAACTCCTGAAGATGCTTGTTGACGACGGGTCCCCAGTTGGTGGGAGGGAGGGCGATCAATTTGGGTGTGGCTCGAAATTGGTGAACTAGTGTTACGCAGGTTTTAGTCTTCGGTTCCATTTACCAAGGGGCCGTTTTGGTACATGTTTGTGAGCCACAGCCATTTAGAGAGGCCCAAGACAACTTTTTCAACTGAGACGCAGCATGGGCCGCCAGCACTCGCATGCGCTCGGAGGGCCGCTGGCCTCGGGTGTTTGTTTGTTTTCTTGCGGGGAAAGCTCTGTGGATTGTTCCACGAGGAAACTGATTCATCTGCGGGTCACCCAATTCTTGAGGGGAACCCGCTGAGGGATTTTGCTTAAAGCAAGCAAGCTTTCTGATTCACTTTAGCTTCCGAAACAACTAGGGGTCCATTTAGACTTGTAGTGGGAAGGTGCATGAAGAGGGCTGGGAACACGGGAGTTCTAACTTCTGCGATGCTTGCGGAAACTGATACCTCCGATTTAATTTAAGGCCATGGTGCTAGGTCTCCAGTGGCCAAAGGGGTAGAAAAGGACAATTGTCAATCTGGTTGATTTCGAATAGAACCTGAACTAAGGCATGTGCAACTGCGCATCACTTGCCCGAATGACCTGGAAGAATGGCGAAGACCTGAGGTTTTAGGACCCTGACCCCGAAAAGGGCTCCGGAAGGCTCAAGAAAGTTGAAAGAGGAACCAGTCAGGGTGCAGGCGGCCAGCGCATCATCGAACTGCTCCAGTCTCAGCAGCAAAGCCCACACATTTCCTCAGTCAACGGCTGGGGTCCCACTTCTGCTTAATGTCTAGGTCCTCCGGTAGACAGGATAGAACAACCCTAGGGTACCATTTTTTTTCTGGTTTGCTATTTAGTAGGGGAACCCTCCAAACCCCAAAAAAGTCTGGCACTGGGGGAGCCAAGTCTGTTCCTCAATCCCAGGAACCCTACACCAAGATCGTGGTTGAGGTTCATAGGCGTGGCTGCAAAAAGGCTCCAAAACGCCCGGTTGCTGCTGCAACGACCCCCTGCAAAGAGTGGTTTTCACTTTCTGGGGGTTTAACTCGTGGAAAGCTCAACTTGGTTTCAACCAAAAAAGGTTTAACTTTTTTGGGGTTTAGTGGAAAACCCCTTGCTTGATTTCAACCAAAAAGTTAAAGTCTAAAGACCCGTTGCCCAATAGCAGTCAAGAAAAAGCCACTCTTTGTGAGGCTGCAAGCTCCCGGGCTTTCTCTCTCCATCTGCAAACAGTAGCCCACGGCCAACCGCGTCGCGGTTAAAACCACGGCGAGCAAATGGTTGGGGATACATGAGCCCCGGTCTGCCCACGCGCTGTTGAGCCACGCTGCCACCAAGGTAGTTCGACGCCCAAAGTAAACAGCTTAACTCATCGCTTGTCACTGCTGTAGAGGGGCGAAATCCATTTCACACTACTTGTGAAACCCTGGAATGATGATTCTTTGTTAAATATTACAATACACGTTTTTTTTCCGTGGTGCGACATGGATTCATCCATCCATACTATGAACCCCTGAAATGACTTCACCACGTTCTCCGGCCGGCGGTTTTTCCTTGGCCACGGGGCGGTCCTCCTTCTCCGCCACCAGCTCAAAGGCGTGGCGCTCCGAGCAGATCCTTAAAGCCAAAGGCGCAAAGTCGGACACCGAGTTGGAGCCCTTGGATCCCAATGTTTTAGGATAACTTTGAGGGGGACCACAGCAGAACTCGGCTGCTTTCTGCTCCCCTGCTAAAAGTTTAACTTTTAGTGGTTTAATGGAAATCCCATCAGTTGGCAAAAAGTTAAAGTCCTAACATCCAAGCAACATGCAACAAAGAGAAGGGGTTGATTACGGGTGGATTCCCTTGGATCCCCACATTGAGGGGGACCGCAGCGGAAGGTTTTTGTTGATTTCGGGTTGATGCCCCTGTTGAGTGGGATGCGAATCAAACCAACAGCGACATGAACGGGACCACAAGAGAGGCGAAACCGGCAAAACGCGTGAGAAATGAAACCTCCAGCCCCTTGCCAGGTTAAAACCGCCAAAGACCACTGACTAAGCTGGCTGAAAACCGTGCTTGAACGCTTGAAAGCTTTAGTTGGGAAACATACCTACAAAGTAAACACGTACATCTTAAAAGAAGCATGCGCAAAAAGACAGAAACATCTTGCAAAGAGAAAGCGGAAGCCTGGACAGCTTGAACATAAAATTGGAGTTTCAGGAACAGGGGAAACCCGGAAATTGAAAAGCATACCGCAAATTTGAAACAACTTGAATCACACGATGCGTAAGATGCAGGGATGAGCTTTGCCGCGAAAAAGACAACTTCGACAGTGGACAGTTTCAAGAGAATAAGAACACAGGTAACAGGTCTGTTCTTTTTTCAGAGTACCCATGTTGGTTCGTCTTGGTGGTTGTACATTGGAGCAAAAATTAAGCCATTGGAGCAACAATTAAGCCATTCGTGGGGGCCAACCAAAAAATGGCTGGATTCGGCCTGGTTTCCAACTTTAAGGTCAAAGAGACTGTTCCTAAACGGATGTGAACCCCGATGGAGATAACCCAGAAAACAAGGGTCAGAAATGATTCCCTTCCAAACCGACCGCGGGGGAAAAATAACATAATCATTTCAGCAAATAAAAGAAAAGGGGCCCTCGACTGATGGCCTTTTTCGAGAAAACCCGTTTTTGGGGATCTTCTTGGTTTTAAAGGCCCCGAAGAAGGAGAAGAAAGTGGCTGCAACAGAATCCTCGCTGACTGCCACTGTGGCTCCAGAGCCGGTGCCCGTGCACGTCGTTGGCCAGGGACCGCAGGGGGCCGTAGGTGGAACTGGCCCAGTCCTGCTGCTGCACCACCTGACAGGTTTGCAGCCCGGCAGCCCCTTGGCCCATGGGTATGGGATGTGGCCCGCAGAGTTTACTTCTTGTTTCCGCGAAGACGGGTTCCATTTTGGGGGTTACCCTATTCTTGACTCATGTGGGTGGCTCAAAACAACTAGGTTCTCCAGTACAGAGGTTAGAACAAGTTGGTACCATATGTTTTTTCTGTTTTGTCTATTTTGGTAGGGAACCCAAAAAAAAGAGTAAAAGGGCACTACTGGGGGACCTAGGATGATTCCCCTGCAAATAAGATCAAACCATGGTTTCAAAGTGGTTCAGGACTTCGTCCGTCAACAGTATGAGCATGAGATTTTATATGGGTGACCCTTTGGTGAACAGTGTCTAGGATGTGGTTTCCGATTAACAACATAGCCATACCTCCCTTGTTTGATAGCTTTCAAAGGAAACTGTCAAGGAAGCTACCCACTTTGGGTGCTTGTGGGCGGTTCTAAAGGGAAGCCAAGGGCACATAACGGGCTTGGGGCTATTGAAAGACAAACCCTATTGAGAATGACAGGAAGCCAAGCACTTGTAGAGGGTCCCTTGGATTGAAAGATGTTCACCTTCCGGGCCACAACTTTTAAACATTTAGCACAAGCGTAATTCAAAGTGTGCCTGCACTCACCAAAAACAGGCCACAGGCCACAGGCTGATCTTCAGGCAAATAACCAAACTCCTTGTACTTGGTACAGGTGCATTTGTTGAGTTTGGGTGTGGCCAAGATGAGCGGGGCCCCTTTGCCCTTTAGCCAAAAGGAACCAACCGGCTATCGTGTCTCCATATGTTTGGGCCGGACTGGGCATTTCGTCCAAACAGGGGGCGCATGTCCCCTTTCGGGCCCCCTGCAAAGCGCCCTTTGATGTTCTTCCATTTAATGAGCATGCGGCCCCTGGAAAGAAAAAGTCCAGCATTGATAGATTCACGTTAAAAGCAACTAGGGAAAATAACATATGTGGTGGCCATTGTTGGTACTAATCCCCGGATTAAGCAGAACCCCTGGTTGATTTTGATCAGGGGATGTCCCCTTTAAGTGGGAATCAGACCACTTTCGGAGGGAACACCCCCCTACTGATGGGACGGGTCTACTTAGATCCTGGGTCAGCCCTTGGTCCCTGCGGGTCCCCCCCATCTTCGTGAGCCTCGTGGGTGATCCGGCTCACCGCTACCCATCCTGAATGGAAGTCACTGCCAACCCCAGATTTCTAGGGGTAACTTCTGGGTAGACCATTCTGATTCCAGGTTTTGACTATATATATAGTTGTAACGGATCTTTGCACTTGAACCATTTGGCCTAGGATAGCCCACAAGAATAGATGGCTATCCTGGGGTGTTCACCGGATCCCAACAATAGGGATACCTTCCATTTCCATTCTGCACCCAGGGATCCGGATCTTTCTAGAAAACCAAAAACAAACTCAGGAAATGGCGATCGTTTTTTGAAAAGAACGATGGCTGAAAAGAATGGCTGGAATCAACCCGTAGAAACCTCCTGCCGGAGTAATGGGGGGGTCCCCACTTTTGGTTGGATTCAGGCCACTTTTGGAGGGGAACACCCCCCAACCCCAACCCCCACCCCCCCCCCCCCACTTTCCTATGCCACCTTGACAAATACTTGCCATGGTAGCAAACATCTGGCTGTGTGTTGCTGCCCCCCCCAAAAAAAATATGAGCAGAAACAGAAAACATCCAACAACAAACATGAGCCAACAACCGTGCAGCAACACCACGCCAAGGGTTCAACGGACGAACGCCTTTAAGCAAACGCCCTAACAAACCAAGCGACAAACTGCAAAAAAGACAACGCAAGAGTTGCTCGAAGACCCATCGGCACACAGGTCCACAGTAGGGATTTGCCTTCCGGATGTTGGAAAGGAACCTAGGGATTCCCGTAAAGAAATCATAGGATGGATTGATTAGGGGCCGTTACGTTTCTCATTGCCTGCCAAGGCGGGGAGTTGGAAGGGCGGGGTCCCTGAAGCTCCCGAATAAACCCTAAGGAACCCTAAACCCTACGTAAGGAGTTCCGTAGGGGGCTCCAGTACCCAACCCCTTGTACCCGACTTCCATAATAAAAGTAAACCTCGGAAGGCCAGTGCCAACCTTCACCCCATGCTGGTTTGATCATCAAATGACCAGCTGTTCACTAGTGATTTGAAGAAACCAATGGTTACATCGTTCAGATCAGTTTTCCCCTAGTGTGGAAGTCAGCTCCTCAACAGGAATCAAGGCCTAACATCCACGTCCAAACCAAGGTGAACCCGACGGCGGCCCAATTTGGGTCGGGGCCAAGTAACAACTTATTGTTCTAGGGGTTGATCCCCCATTCTTTTCAACCATCGTTCTTTTCAAAAACCAGCTGTTTTTTTTGGGGGTTCTGATGGTTTTCTGAAAAGAAGGATCCCTGGAAAGAATGGGGAAGTGCCCCCTAGAGTTGTAGACAAAGTATGGCTCACGGGTCCAACAGAAGCTGAAACACTTTGCGACCCTTGACCCGAAATGAGCCAAACCCCTACAAAACAGGTCGATTTGGGACAGTGGGTGCAAAACTAACGACGCTTCCAACAAAGCGCGCCTTTGGGAAACTCTCAGTGGGCTTGGTGCTTGAGTTGGTATTTACCAACTGGCACATCCAACTGGGGCAAACGCTTCGCTGTACCGCAAGCGGGGCATGAATTTCCAAACGTACCGCAAGGGTGCAAGCTTTAAGCTATGAATTTTCCCAGACACCCACTACATCCCAGTTACCCTTCTAGTAGGTCACCAGCAATTGTCCTATTTGTTTCTCATTGGTAAATGGGTCCACTCAGAGAGGGACAAAGCAAAAAGCAACAGAAGCAACAGAGCCGCCGCCCGCTTCCGCCGCTTCCGTCGCGGCGCTGTCTTCAAAGGCGAAGATGAGGTGAAATCGCGTCAGCGCCATGGAGCGAGGCACCTTCGGCCTCGGACCCGGACTCTCGGCGACGGGCAGCCTCTGCTGGTGGTATTAACTCATTTGGCTGTGGGCCAAAACTAATGGTACCTCTTTGGGGTAGGTGAATTCACCACCCATGTTAGCCTAGTTTAGGATTGGGATGTTCACTGACATTACGGGATTTTGACCCCATGGCCGTTTGGGTCTCCTTTTACTTGGTTGACGTTGGAAGGGGAGCAACAACTTGAATTTTAGCAGTTAAGAAGGATTTTCCACGAAACCATGACAAGCAGCAATGCAAAATGTTTCCCAACCATGAAGTTTAGGGGCCTTCCAAGAGGTTCTCATTTCACACCACCAGAAAACGGGGTACCCTCAAAAATGCCAACGAAAGTCTTCTTCTGCGGACAAAGGTGGAACCTGAATTGAGGTCCCTTTCAAAGGAACATGGTCTGACAAAGGCCATGTTAAGCGGGTTGTACGGTTGCGTTTGGGGTGTTGGGGTCGTGCAACCCTTTGATCCCATTTCAGGGAGGTCAACATACCTCATAAGATGATTCCACTCACTTGAGTCATGATCAAAACCCGGTATGAAAATGGTCTACCCAGAACCATGTAAAGAATTAAGAAGGCGGCTGCAGCTATTTGTAGTTGGGATTGCCCTTACTATCCTTCATCTACCCGGGTTTTGCTTGTGGCTCACTTGGTGAAAAGACGCGGAGATACAAGGTTTCCCTTTTGCAGTGCATTGGAAACCTTAGGGGCTTAGAGGCTGGCGTTGAAATACCCAGGCCTCAAGCCTTCTCCCTGTAAAATGAGCTTTTGGGGCCGCAATGGAATCCAAACAGCGCAGCTGAAAGGTCTTTTCAGGTTGATTCGCTGTGGTTGTGAAAAGTAACGGCCGCTCGGCCGACCGACTCGGTGTCCTTTTGGTAAAATAGATGGGTTTGTCGGCATGAAACCCAGTCTAAACTAAGCCCAACTAAACCCAATAGCTAGCCAAGCCAAAGATTGAATCTGTTGGTAAGAACGGCTTGTTCCAAACCATTTCTAGTTGGTGCATGGAATGAAACCCAGTTGGTGCCATCTACTTCTAACCAAGCCAAACAATAAAATGCACACTTAGGTTCTCCAGATGTGAGAGGCTGGAATAAGGGTCCCACCTTTTTCTGTAGCCTACTTTAGTAGAAAAAAAAACAAAAACAAAAACTCCCAACCAAAGAAGAAACGGTAAAAGGGCACCTAGCTGGGGGACCTAGACACATCTGGACCGACGCCCGCCCAGCTCCCCTCTGAAGAGTGGCCGCATGTGTTGCCTCACGCGCTCCCATGGAATGCTTTGCCCATCTTTGCCCCCAAAATTCTTGCCTGAACATGGTTCCACTCACAACACCAGGTGATACTATGTGCCATTTGGCTCTATTTCAAACCAGTGGTACCATTTTGGGCTAGGTGCACCACCCATTTTATCTTATTTATAGTGGGGAATGGGATATTGGTTCTGTCAACTCACCCCTCTGCTCCTTACAACCATGAAACGCTGACAAAAGGGTTTTGGAAGACATTTTTGCTTTCGGGTTCACTTCCATTGTTGAAAAAAAGGGTTCCAAGCGGGTATGTGTCAAAGGATCCCAGAAAATGGGTGGTTTCCTCTGGTGTCCCTTGGGGAAAAAAAAAAAAAAAAACGGCATACCCTGAAGCTTCCTCGCCGGCCAGGGCGCAAAGGCGGTGGGGACACCGAGTTCCCCTGCGCCTTGCCGCCGGGGAAACGCACCAGCCCAGGGGGCGACTCCACACATCCCGCCGAGTCCTGCGTGGGGAGAACCCAAACTCAAGCATGCCGCGAGTTGGCCTGGTGCTGAATTCCAACTCCTGCATAGCTTCGTCTTCCAGCTATTTAGCTTCAAAAGGTCCTAAAGCTCTTCTAAAGCTCCGGACCTTCAGGATACAGCATAACTTCGTCTTTCAGCTGCGTGCGGAGAACCAAACCGAAGCATGCTACTTGATCCTACTTGGGTGTTCGGCCAAGTTACTAAGTTAGCAACCTAGGGTTCACCTATGTTGACATTGCTGTTTGGGGTTCTAACCCCAAGTGGCCAACCACTTGCAACCTGGGCCGGACATCCAAGTAGGGATCTGATGAGGGGATACCCCCCACTGCCCGGTCAGCTCGCCACGGTCCAAGCTCAGCTTGATGACCTGTCTGGCCTCATTCTAGCCGAAAAAGTCACGTCTGGACAATACTGTGGATGGACGAATTCCTGCACCACCCAAGAATCACTGGAATGATGATTCCCCTGCTTTTACCAACAAACACTGGTTTGCCATGGTTTCAAAGTGGTGCAGGATTTCGTCCATCCACAGTATGGGGGCTCCTTGAACATGCGTCCGGTCTGTTCTCCATTCAGCCTTTTTCCTGTATCTCTTCGTCTCTCTCTGTCTCTTCTGGTCTCGATCTCTCTCTTTGGTTGGATGATAGTTTCGACTACCCTCAAACCACTACCACCAAGATCTGCCAACACCAAATAACACAACCACTACAATGACAACAATGAGGTTTTATCTCAACATAGGGGAACCCCAACAAAAGGCTAGTTTCTGGATGGTTTCCTTAAGCACCACCATGAGAAAATGAGAACATATGTCCAGTAGTCATAGATTCCCTTTAAAACCAACAGGGAAAAATAAAGAACTAACATATTCATGTCCTTACCCCTTAAAACTCCAAGGATTGGGGAAGTTAATCTTTTACAGACATATAGCCCATGTTACCCCCAAAGTTGAAAAGTTGTGCTTTTAAGAGGTAAGTTTCCGCAAATGGAAGACAGGGGGTAACTCCCACAAAGGGCGCGCCACCGGCTCGTCCCCTCGCTCGTCCCCTGGCCAAAAACCGTCCTCCCCGACGGTGGCCTGGACCTTGGCGGCCACCACTCCCACGCCCGTGAGCCAGAAGAGCACTTTGGTGCCTGCGTTGAAGAAGTGGTGGTCACGGGTGGGAGTTGGTTGTAACGTTCACCCCGTGTTTGCGTTGGTTGTCACATAGTCTGGTTTCATGAAAACAAAGCCAAATCACATGATATGTTAGGACAACTTTCTAGTGTTCATTTTGATCTTGTGCCAGATGTGATCCGTCTTTGCCAATAGTTGAATCCCCAACCCCTGCCTGGCTCCCCCACGCACGCGTCATCCACCTGCAAATCGCCTCGGTGCCGGGTTTGAACGAGATCTTCCCCACACAACGTCACCAAGGGAACCCCAGCGGCCATCTGCCAAAATGGTGGACTTTGTGGGGGGCCCCTGGATTCCCGTTGGAGCACGAAAAACGGACCTGAAAGGCAATTTGGGGTGCCCCGTGTTTACTTGAGCTGAGCAAGCCGGTGATGGGACACCGGCGAAAAGAAACCGCCCATAGAAGCCGAAGACAAACGAACTCCTTCCGCTCAGCGAGGCCAGTTGTAAGAAAACTCTCCGAGAGACGTTCCGCCCAAAGGTGGGGATTTTGGCGGCCTTCCAGCAGGAAATCCTGATCCTATGAGTCTCTCCCGGAGCTCTTCTAAAGGGATCTGAAAGATGAGCACCCCCTTCTGGTGGGTTTTGGAAAGAGAAACCAAAGGGAAACCAAAGCGGAAACCCACCATTTGTTGGTGCCCTCTTTTGGTTTTCGCGCCCTCTGTAGTTACCCCTTTTTCTTGCAGGTGCTCATCAGACCATGACAAATTGGAATCACCCCTATAGAATATCCCCTATGGCTTCCTTTCAGGGAATCCCTTTCCGGTTCATTCCGATTCAACCCCCGGACTCGCTCAGTCATCCCCTAGCTATATCACACCAGCAAGTTTCGGGTCCATTCCGCTGCTCCGGGCTCCCGGCCATAAGGCGAGTCATAGGGCACTTCGAAGACTCGCGTGCGATGGCCCACCTTCTCCCCCGCGTACCGCTGCAAGAGGCTCCTCGCTCGTTGCACGCACACGCGCTAGGAGCCAGGCGGAGAGGACACCCCGCGCAAGATGCGCAAGTTACACAGGGGGTGGTTGTGCGGAATTTGGGGGTAGGCGCTCCTCAGAAACCCGTATTTAATCCCTTGGGGTGGGTTTTGTGTATTGAGATTGTCCCTTGTTGGTTTTACAGGGAATGTATCACTACTGGACATATGTTCTCATTTTTTGCCAGGGGCTGTACAACGCAAATGGCATGTGTTTACCCTCTTGCCAACAAATCATGGAACTGGACGAGGGGGGGTTGGAAGACTAACAAACCCATTCTCAGTTGGCCCGAAGGTTGATCCCCCTTGATCCCCCTTGCAGATCTTTGGCCTGTCAAAATCGCCTCTCAGCAGTAACCAACCTCTACAAGGGTACCCTTCGAACAAATACTTTGTCCAACCATGGACCCCATTTAGTGGGTGAAATGCGCCACTACAATTCAACCAACGAAAAAGTCCACCAAAAACCCAAGCTGAACCCCACCACCCGAAACCCTAAACCCCTTTTAAAAAAGGGATGCGGCCCCTTCCCACCCCCGTTGAACCCCCGAAACGGGCGCCGAGGCGCTCCAAGGAGGTCCCCACGAAAGCGTGCAGAAAGGCCCCCGCACACGCGAAGAGCACCAGACGCTCCAGCCCGTCGCCCGAGAAGACCCGCTCCTTGGATGCGGCTATGGCGGTGGCGGGGCGAGAAAACGAGAATTCCGTACTCCGGCAACCGCCGTCCGTTCCTTCCGCAAGGTTGACCCCGGAGTACGCAGAACCCCAGGTAATAGACGTTCGATTCCTGCATAGATGGCCTAAAACCAAGTCCCCGCACTTTTTTGTTTACCACGAAAACGGTCCAGGAACGGTCCCCAAAACTGCATACAACTTCTTTTTGTTTGTATACCGTCCGTCCAAACCCCCAAAAAGACTTCGTTCGCGATCCAAGGAACTCTGGCAGCGAGATGGCCAAAGAGGTCAAGGGGGGCGTCTCAACTTCTCGGTGCTCCATGTATGTGCGTTTCTTCGAACGGGAAAAATCGAACATGTGGTGGACGAAATCCATTTCGCACCATTTGAGAAACCCTGGGAGAATGATTCCTTCGTCGATAACAAACAAGATTGGATTCCTATCGCTTCAATGTGGTGATGGATTCCGTCCACCCACAGTATGTCCAGTGAAATTGATTCTCGGAGTAACAAAATGGTCTTAAGAAAATGGACATCATTAAAATGGTTCCCTTTACCCATGGTCACATGACATGATCACTCGCCATGATCGAAGGGGCAGCAACAGTGTGCCAAGTCATCCGAGGGGCTTAGACTTCAGGTTAAGTTGGCGGGCCAGGTTGCTTTGGTCCAATGATCCTCACCTCTTTGAACTATTGCTGTCTTTTATCTGCAACTAGGTTTCTGCGTCTCCCTCTCTCTCGTTACATCTTGAGCGGTTCTCAAAATTACACATGGGGGTGATTTCCCTGAACACCTTAGGTAAAGTTTGGTTGAATTCTGTAGTCCAAGACCTAAGGGCAGTCAATTGGTATGCATTCCATACGAGGGCATTTCAGGTACAAATGGGCCATCCTTGGAAGGTGCTGGGTGGCCATCCTCCATTTGCGTCTTAAGTCCCCTGGACAAAATGAGACAAACTATGTCCAGTAGTGAAATCGATTCCCTTCACAAACCAACAGGGGAAATGCAAAATATAGTCTCCAGCAAATGGAAATCATTGGGCTCGGCGTGAGAACGCAGAAATAACTCGGCTGACAACGCTCACCTTGTTGGGGCCATGATTGAAACCGGATCAACAAATGGAATTGCTCAACCTGTTGGTTGCAATCGCCTATTAGCTTGTTTTCTTGGGAAACAAACCAACACATGTTTGTAGAACCCGACTATCTTCACTTGAAGGGTTTGATGGGTGGTAGCCCTCCTCCCACCCCCCCCCCCTGCCCCCTGAAGGTCCGGAACATAAAGAATAACCACCAAGCAGAACAGATAACAGAAGTGAGCTTACCTAGGGTCCTCCAGTAGAGAGGTTAGAGTCTGTTTTTCTGTAGTCAATTTTAGTAGGGGAACCCTCCCCAAAAAAAGGGGAGAGAAGGGCCCTACTGGTTGGCCGGGGTTGCAACCAGCTCACTCTTGATGAAGGGCATTGGCTGGTCGAATTATCCTATCAAGCGGATGGAAAGCAATTTGCCCAAATGGGTGTCTCTTTTCTGCGGGGTACCTGCTTGGTGTGATTGAAAGGGTTCAAGCCACTCATTTTGTTCAACCCTTATTTGGAGAAACACCCATTGGTCGATCGAATTGGTCAGAGAAAGGCCCTAGACTTTTGTTCATCTCAGGATCCGCTGGACTCCGCTTGATCATCAGGCTGTGCCTGCCTCCCTCTGCAGGATGGGGAGGACAATGGATCGATCATCCCTAAAAATCAACTAGGTCCTCCACTAAAGAGGTTAGAATAAGGGTACCTTTTTTCTGTAGTCTATTTTAGTAGGGGAACCCTCCCCCATAAAAGGGGAAAAGACCACTACTGGGTGACCTAGTCAAACAAGAATCATCAGGCGCAGAAAAAGGGGGCCGCTGGCCGCATTCCCCAAGAAATGCGGACGAGAAGCACGATGCACGCCGACCACTGGCACACGTTCAAATTCAAAGGCCGTCTTCACCGTCTTCTCCTCACTGGTGGGCAGCACGGCCGTTTGTGTTGTTTGGGTTGTTTCTTTGTTCTGATCCAAAACGGGTTGTTCTAGGGGTACCTTCCCCATTCTTTCCACTTCTTTTCAGGAAACCATCAAAAACCAGGGGAAACAGCCGGTTTTTGACAAGAACGATGGTTGAAAAGAATGGGGAATGAACCAACCCCTAGAGTTGTTTGGTGTTCATCAAACTTAAACGGGCAAGGGAAAGGAACTATTCCAGTACATCTGAGGGTTTCGAGGGTTTCTCAAAATAGTGAAAGGTTGGAAACCAAAACTCACTTCCTGAGTGGATTGGCCAGAACCATCGAAACGTTTTGTTTACCACTGTGATGGTCTTCCACTCACCCGCCCAAAGGACCGAAAACCAAGGTTAACCTCTTGGGACCGACCCAAAAGAGAACCTAAAGGTTAAACAATTCACTTTGGACAACTGATTCACTCCCCTGCATCATGACTGCACAGTAACGGAAGGAACAAAAGCAGCCTATTTGTAGAATACTCTCAGTTGGGGGCACCCTTTTGGAATCTCATTTTTATCTCGACCCCGGGTCTAAGTGGAGTCGACCTGTCAAATTCATAGTGGGCACTGTTTCCATGAAAAGTGAAGGGGCCTTCTCCCTTTTAGTCAGCGGGGGCTCATGAATCCTGGTCAACATCAGGCATGGCAGGGCCCACTTTAAACATGCTGCTGGCTCTCAGAAGAGAATGAGGAATGATCCCTATAAACCATCCCCTATGGTTTCCTTTGAGGGAATTCCTTTCCGGTTCATTCCGATTCAACACCCGGAAGGTTGGTCATTCCCTGCTGGGCAAGTAAACACAAAAACACGGGAAGCCATCGAACACATCGCGGACAACCGCGGCTGGCCAAAAAACTCCGAGCCCAACATGCCAAGACATCGTCGGCGATGTCGGCGCTCATGGGATCCAAAAAAACTGGGCCCCCCAGGCCGTCCTTGCCAACACCGTTGGCGAACTCAATGACGACGTGCAGGATCTGCCCGGTTCTAGTGCCTTGCGCCAGCCGGCAATCGAATCCTTGCAAACAAGCTGAAACTCGGTTGCTTTCAGCGAAGCCATGCTAAAAGTTGAACTTTGAGTGGTTTAATGAAAAACCCATTAGTTGGCAAAAAGTTAAATTCCTGCATCCAAAATGCACCAAAGGAAAGCACTGGTAAATGATGCGAACCAAACTGAAAGCACTGATATATAAATGAGGAGAACCAACGTGAAAGCGCTGGTCAAGGACCCTTTGGGAAGCAAATTGTGCTTCGAGCAGTTCTTGGCATTCATGCAAGATTTCTCGACGCAAACCCGACATGGTTTGAGCATCTGTTGAAGTTGCCATTGCCTGTCTGCTTTCGGCAAGCGCTCGAAAGATTGGACTTTCAACTCGAGTGCAACTTTCCGCACGACACACTTCGAAAACGGGCGCAACCCCCCCTTACGCTGCCCAGTGATCCGCGCGACTGCATTCATATTCACCCCTCCAATTTAATCCACTTGCTTAAGGCCGATATACAAAGATGTCCAGTATAGTAATAGATGCCTTTTAAAACCAACAAGGATAAATACAGCAAATGAAACGGACATGATACCTGCTTTGCGCTTTGCCACGAAACAACCCCTCCTTAAAAGGAAAGCCACCAACAAAAAGAAGTTTTTCCCCCCTCCCCCCACCCCCAAAAAAAAAACTGAACAGGGGTTCCCCCGCCCCTGGACCCCTGGACCCCTGCCCAGGCCACACGCTTCCGCGGCTTCCGCGGATGGCTTACCGTCGGGGCCCCGGGCCCAGCAGCAAGTCCTTGGTGCTGCCGAAGGTGGCCTGGCCGAACCGCACCGCGGAAATCGAAAACTGGTAGGAGCGAGATAACCACGGGCTGATCATCCATCCCTCCCCCCCCCAAAAAAAAAACCAACGGAGAAGAAAAACAAAAAAACGGCCGTTTGGGTGCTCTTTTTGTTTTTAGGATGAGGTATGGGCAGGTCAGTTGGGTAGTTGTGTTTTCTTTTTTAAGGATGAGTTGTAGTCAGATCATTTGGGTAGTGTTGTTAAGGATGAGTTATAGTTAGGTCATTTGGGTAGTTGTTTTCTCGGATGCTACCATTTTGGGGCTTGGTTGAAAGTGACCAAGGAACAGAAGACCATGCCCTTTTTTCTCAAAGACTTCCTGTGTTGACCAAAACAAGGAAAGTTGAAAGTCGGGGGTGCGCAACCTTTCGCTGCTTGGGCAGAGCTGGGCGGCTGAACCAAATGGAGGTGTTCCGACAGTATCCGAGTCATCGCTTGCTCAAAGGACTTCGAAATACCAGGCAATCTGGCCATTTTGAATGTTAGTGGCATGAGTGCCATGTTTGGATAGGCCCCTTGACATGGCTGGTCTTTGACACCTTTCCAGTAAAGCTGCAGAAGGGAGGGTGATTAAAGATGACAACCACGGCAGTGGTGGGTGGAACTTTGGTCACCCAAGTAACTGGCTCTCACTCGCGCAAAAAATGGACAAGCAAGGCTAAAAGGTCGGATCCGGTCAACTTTCTGGTATGGGCTTTGGAGCCGTGGAGCTTCTGTACGACTTCTATAATGGGTATATATGCTGCCTTCCCTATCATGCCCTTGATTTTGGCCAGTTAAATCGTCCCTGCGAAGTATGAAGCTCCAACTGTCCCCTGTTTTAGGGTGAATCGCAAAACATATAGAAACAGACCCCTATCACCCCCGCATGATTCTGCTTTAGCCGCTATGGGGTGCTCCCAAAATCTTATTCAGTCCATGAGCTGGGTGTGAGTCAAACATACTGCGGATGGTTGCGAAATCCATTTCGCACCACCTGAGAAACCCGGGAATCATGATTCCAAAAACCATACTAACCAACAATATCTTCCTATGGTTTCAAAGTGGCGCGAAATGGATTTTGTCGATCTACAGTAGGATACCCCCAAAATGCAAACAAGGACAGAGACTAAAGCCTGCGGCCCACATCCTGGTATAATGTTGATCCATACCCAACTCAGGGAAAAGACGCACCCCCTGGCTTCTGTTCCTGGGAAGTTTTCAGATCTCCTGCTAAAAGGAGTGGACGTGGACACCCAACCACTAAACCGACAGCCTAAAAACCTCAGGAACTGGATGCCGAACCTAAACCAAGCCAACCTTAAAGCCTATAAGCCTATTGAACCGGGTACCCCAAAACCTAAACACCTCAGCGGACGATTCGCTGGTCCCGGTTTCTCGTCGCCGCTAAACCGATCCAAAGCTCAGCTTCCGCCTTCCGATTGGCGGTTTGGAGCCTGGTGGTTTGGTGGTCAAGGGAGGGGTTCCCATCCACCCTCTACAAGGACCAGGGACCCGTTCAAATCCCAAACCACCAATCCCAAACCACCAACTAAGGGCAACCCGACCGTTTGCGGATACGTCCTCTGGAAACCAAACATATTCACAGTGATAGATTCGCTTTAAAGCCACCAGGAGAAAACCAAAATACCCTCCCACCAACTAACATGCAACTGCCAACAGAAGGAAAACACAAAAACAAAAAAGCGTCAGCAAGTGCAAAAAAAAAATCAGCCGCCAGTTTGTCCGGTCCAAATTTCCAACATCTTTTCCTTTCAGCCCAAAAAACCGCCCGCCGGTCCGCCCCTCCAATTCATCACCCCATCACCAGCGCCTCCACGTCCCAGGAGGCGCTCTCCAAGACGTGGCCCTTCAGCTTTGGCAGCCGCGTGGCCGCGGTGCCTCGCTGACTTTTGTCTCCAAGGTAAGCCCGGGGAGCTGGGGGTCGTCTCCAAGGGCCGGGCAACTGGGTTTTTTGTCTCCAGGGAGATTCTTCAAAAGGCTCTTTCTTGTTTTCTTGCTTGTTTAAAGGTATTTTAACAAAAATACACATGAAATGCAGTTAAAGAAAACATGAAATTTAAAGCATGAAGCATGAAACACGGGCGAATTCTATATGCAAACATTTGATTGAAGGTCAGAACGCATATCAATCACGCAAACCAATCTCTCACAAACACAGCGGCGGGGCACACATGGTACCGGTTGAACGCCTGAGGTTTTTTTGCTTCGGATCCTTCTTCCTGGGTCACGGAGTCACGGAGTCACGGAGTGCGGACCCTAATCCAAGGCATCCCGTCCCAAATTCCGCGGTCAGTCTTCCCTAGAAAGGAACATGGCTCGCCATGGAGACTTTCAGGGGTCACCCTCACCCCAAGTCCAGTTCTCACTCAGATGGCCCAGTGGACTCCCATGGGAGAAAAAGAGAATCGGCACCCTATTTTGCTTGGTTCCGCCACATTGCTCAAGACCCCACCCCACCCAATTGGAGTGAGTGGAGCCCACATCCCGGCTAAGCCAAGAATCAGGCAGTCTCGCTAAGGCGAAAAGCAAAGTATGAATTAGCGTGGTTGAGTTTCAAGGGGAACCCTATTTTGCTTGGTTGAGTTTAAAGGAATCGGAATCCTTCCCCAAAAAAGAGAGAAATTGAAGCAACCCACTGGGCAACTGGGTAAGCAAAACTAGAGATTTGAGAAGTCCATCGAGCCCTCACCCAAGCAAAAACCCAAAACCCAAAAAAAGTTTGGAAAAAAGGGGGCCCTCTTTGGCTTGGTTGAGTTTAAAAGGGGAACCCCAAAAACCAAAACAAAAACAAGTCGGGGACAAAAAGGGGGCGGTTCCGCCCCTGGTTGCACCTGGAAACCTTTTTTCAGGGGCCCGGTGGGGATCTCGAGCAAGGCGCAATCGAAGTTCAGGTACCAGGTCTCCCCTCCGCTGTTGGTCATCAGCGCGTGGAACCCCGTGGGGTCCAGAAGTACCCGACTCACCTCACCTGACCGTGAAATCGGAAAATCCATGGGGGCGAGGGCGAAGTCGACTGCGTGGAACATGTGTTTTTTTGCTTCAGAAGCAAGGAATTGACAAACAAGATGGAACCTTTTTTGGGCCTTTACCCAACCAGAGGTGTCCTTTTGGGAACATATTGTGAAACTTGATGGCCTTGGCAGATTATGAAACAACCAGTCTCCGAAACTTATGAGCCAAGCATTGTCTACCGAAACAACCAAACAGGATGCCCGTGCTCCCAGCAGGGGTCCTTACATTATACACTTGAACATTGCCTTGTAAATTGTGGTTTCCACTTATTTTGGTGGAAAAAAACATGTTTTAAATGGGTAAAATGTATCTTTTAAGGAGCCCTGCCCAGTTTCTCCCGGTTTCTCCCGGGTGTCACGGCCCGGTGTCAACGCCCCGGTGGCCTACCCGATCCTTGGACTCGATGAGGGTGAACTCGTCCTCATCGGGGAACCATCCTCACCGGTGCGGCGATGAGCCCTGCTAAGGCGACACAGGAGGGGAAGGCAGCATTTGGCCCGAGCAGTCGGGGAAAGAAAAAGGGTGATCCTCTTTTGGTGGTTGGCTGCAAAAGGGAAGAAGCAACAAAGGAACAAGAGAAATCAGGGTGGGTGCGATTCTCATGGGAAAGCAAAGGATGCGAATCTTCTTTTGGTAGTTGATTGAAAAAAGGAAAACGGGCTCCACTGGAAGTCTTTGGGTACATGACTGGTTGCCTTGGCATGCTTCCCCTGCTTCCGTTTGAACCGCATCCAGAAAAGAAGTCAGAGGGCGGCCTGCCCCAGCTATGTTCCACACCATCCAGTTCAGAACATGTTCCCAGTGAAATCAATTCCCTGTACAGCCAACAGGGGAAATAACAAAAACATCCTAAAGCGCACATAAAAGTTACCCTAGTTTTGCAATTGGGGGTATGGATGAACCTCAACTCACTTGCCGAAAAGACCTGGAAAACTAAAGTTCATCTTTTCGAGTCTTGACTATGGACCAAACTAGGGAATCCAAAAAGTCAAAAGGTCGATTCGCTTTGGGCAAGGGAAAGCCTGAAACGCAAATGGGTGTTTCTTAAAATTGGGCAACCCCTAAGAAGGGATTTTGGTGTCCCTTTGGTTTCCCTCTTAAACCACCCCCAAAATCTCACTTCGTGAGTGCACCAGCCCAAGCAAGTCCAATATCTTATTCACCACTAAAACGGTCCAAACCCAAAATCGACTGAAGTCCATGAACTCAGGGAGTCAAAAATGGCAGAAACTCCAATAAACTGGGCTGCCCTCAGACCCCTGCTAAAGTTGAAGTTTTAGTAAAGGGCTAAATAAAAAGCTAAGGGGATGGCTGGGAGCCACCAAGTAAAGAGAATCCCAAATGGTTTCGAACAACGCCCGCAATTCCGCTCTCGCTTGTCTTGGGCTCCCGGCTCGCAACCTCGCCACCCTGGAAGGCCTGTACTGTTCTCAGGGCCCTTGGGGCATCCATCCTACCCTTGGGGGGGGGGAAAGGGGGTGCAGACCCGGCCCGGTCCCCCAATCAACCATTTTCTAGTCTTCATGGGAAAATGGAACCGGAATCATCCCACCTTTTGCTGCTTGGTTGACGTTGGAAGGGGAGCAACAAAAACAAACTTTAGCAGTTCAGTGGTTGGATTCCAACCACTAAACCACAATAAGCAAACCGTAATATGTTTCCCAACAACAACCATGTTGGGGGGATCTTGGGCTGGGGACCCGGTCCGGCCGGGAGAACCCGTTTCTAGTCTTTCTCATGGGAGAACGGAACCAGAATTTCAGATTTCCAGGACTCACCCCCCTCCGTTTTTGAGGGGGTGGGGATCTTGGGGCTCACTCGGCTTGGGGAGAGGGGGGTTGAGATCACACCGCGGCCGCGAAAAAGTGGGAACCTACAATCATCGCCCAAGGGCGAGCGAACCGTTTTTCAATCCAGAGGAAAACCGTTCGCAAAGGTCAAACACGGACTGAAACAGGAGAAAACAGAATGGACTAAACAGGTCAATTCTGAATCAGGCCTTTGGACAGTAGACCAGTTTTGTTTCACCTATGGATTGTCAGGCTGATATTGTCGCAGCAGTTGGGATTGGTAGTTTACCCCAGCAATTTCATTCATCCCGGTCGGTGCTGGTTATTGAAATTGTGTCCACCCACAGTATGGCAGGAAAGAAAGGGTGACCAAGAAACATGGACATGACAGTGACAGTGCCTGCATTTGGTAGAGCGGTCAGCGGACCCTTCGACAAACACTTGGCCGTTCAACATGCAAACAATTCCTGATTTCTCCAGAATCCCAAGTGGACAAATGACAAGGGGGCGCTGCCGGGCTTGCAAACTTTTCCCCTGGGTTCAAGCCACCATTAAATCAAAGGGGGCTCGTGTATTACCGCGGATGGACGAAATCCTGTAGAGAACATTTCCCTGTGAATACCCGCAACCGTTGTGGTTTCAACCATGGCTTCAAAGTCGAAACGGATTTTGACCATCCAGCGTATAACCGTGAAGCCCTCAACACGAAGCGCCCAAGTTCCCCCCAAAACACAAGACATGGACACGGCCGTGGCTGCACCCTCCATTGAGCCAAACAAAACGGAACAGTTCTTGATACCTTCCATTTGGTTAAGACCCCCCGGAGAAACTATTTAAACAAATATGTCCAGTAGTGATCGATTCCTTTTAAAACCAAGAGGGAAAAATAAAACATATTCTTAAGCAAGTGGAAGAGAACATGTCCCAAGTCCATGAACTCCGGTCAACGAAACGAGCACGGTGAATACCTTGCGTTTGCTTTTTAACGCCGCCCAGAGAAAACAGCAGCAAACAAATGTCCGGTAGTGGAATCGATTCCCTGCAAAACCAGTCCGGGCAAAATAAACATTCAAGAAAGAAGAACAAGAAACAACTTGACAATAAAAAAAAAGAAAACTTGACAAACAATAAATAAACTTGACAACAAGAAAAAGCATATATTCCGTTCAGCAAATGCCAGCTGACATGTGCCATTCAAGGACAGGCGGGGTCATAGTGCTCCGATCCCCCTCCTTTTGCGGGCTGCATTTCCCCGAGCACCGCCAAAAATGGGCCCGAGGAGACTCGCTTCAAAAGGAACCAACGGAAACGCATTGTGAGAAGCGCGCACATCAAACCACCGACTCATTAAGAAAACACATGAAACATAGGACTTTAGAAATGACAATGACCCCACATCAGACCACCCAAAAAGAGCCAACTGGGAATCCCCGCTTTTTTTTAGCACACCTTCTACATCCTTATGCAATCGATATATTCCTGAAGAAATCGAAGGCTTCCCCGCCCCTGCCCCATCTCGCATCCGAGGCTCCGCCAGCACGCTGCCGGAGCCAGCGGCCAGCGTGTTGAGCCGACGCTGGCCGCTGCGGAGCCCATGCTCCAGGGTCACCTCGCAAGAGGCATCTCTCCTTACGAAGGGGCGGTTGCACTATTCTTGGCTGGGAAAAAGGGGCCCCGGCCAAAAAAGAATCATGTTTTGTCTTGCCGGGTTAGTGGAAAACAAAGAGGGAACCCCAAAAACTCACTGGCTGAGTGGATGGCCCAAAAAAAGTGGCAACTTTATATATACCACTAAAATGGTCTTCCCAAAAAGTTTAAAGTTCATGAACTCAGGAAGTGAGAAAAAGCAAAAGAGTAAAAAGAGGAGCTAATTCTGGTTGGAAGTGTTGTACCGGGAAGCCAAAAGGACCCCAACCATGTTTAGGCGTCCATTTCCTTTTAAGAAATACTAGCTTGGCCCATACAGAGTCCCTTTGGTTTCCGCCGAGCAACCCTGTTGCCTGTAGTCTCCCTTTGGTTTCCCTTTAGTTTCCTTTAAAACCACCCCAACAAACGTGCCCTCGACAAAAAGCGAGCCAACATCTCTAGGGGTTGATTCCTTGTCCACTCTTTTCAGCCATCGTTCTTTCAAAAACCAGCCATTTCCCCAGGGATTTTGACGGTTTTCTAGAAAGAAGGATACCTGGAAAGTTGCCCTTTTTTTTGCCGAGCAACCCGGTGGTCAAGGAGAACCCGTACAGTGCATCTGGGGTCAGTTGGCCCAAAGCTCAGCTGCCCAAAGGACCTTCCTGATTTATTGCCAAATTTTGAATTCATGAACGCTGCTGGCATTATATTAGGTTATATTTTGGGCGTATATTGTATACGGTTATATATATATGTGTGTGTATGTGTATATGTTTTAAGGACGTAATGGTAATGGAGTAGCAAGCTACTTCCAGAGCCTTGACCAAATGTGGGACCACACCAGGGAGACCAAAAGCTTAAAAAGGTAGGTTTTTCTTGCAAGGGAGGGAGGACTCAAAGGCTGTATAGGTCATTTTGTGAAGGTATGGGACTCCAGTTTGGACCCCAAAGAGGGGCTGATTTCCCATATAAACCCATCATAACTAACGGTTATGAACCCATAAACTAGGGGTTCACACCAGGGGTTCAGCCTTTGAAGTTCAAGGACCCCTAAAAGATCAAAAGGTCGATGCGCTTTGGGTAAGTCTAGGCTGGAATTAGGACCCCAGCAATATATATATATATATATATTTGTTTGCCTGGTTAGTGGAAAACAACTGGGACCCCAAAAAAGCAAAAAGGAAAAAGGGGAGCTAATTCTGAGAAGAAGTGAGGAATTGGTGGTTTGGGCGATGGGGACCTGGTGCCTTCCTCATTTAGTTTGAAAAGTGGGGTTCAAACCCCACTTTCCACCAACCCAAACCACAAAATAAGAAAATTGTGTTTGCCGCTAAAACTCCATTTGCATAAGCCCCTGCAAGGATGAAATATGTCCAGTAGTGATAAGTTCCCTTTAAAACCAACAAGGGAGAATAAACATATTCTTAAAAAATAAAACAAAATGGTTCCAAACCAAAAAGCTGCAAAGTCGATGAACTCAGGGAGTGAGCCCCTTGCCATTCAATGGCAATTCAACAGGTGGAGCGGATGGTTGCCTTTCGGTGTTTCCAAGGATAACCATCTATTCTTTTGGGCCATCCCAGATCTGTGTCAACCGAAAAGTTCAAGTCCAAGGGTCCGTTGCCAAAAACCTGGTATCAGAACGGTCTACCCAGAAACATGTACGGAATGACTCACAGGCGGCTGCACCCATTTCTGGCTGGTGGTTCCAAAACCGAAAGGACTAAATAGAAACGCCGCCTACGCAGCACATGGACTTGTCTCCCTCCGAACGGGCCTAAAACACCCTCCAAAACATTCCCCCCAGTGAAAGGGTAGCTGGTGCGTTCTCGGCAGGCCCTGAGAAATGGAACGACCGATATCCGATAAACACAATCCAACTGGTGGACTCTTTCCAGGGGACCCCTGGGTTCCTGCCCTTTTCTGACTGGGCACCACCAAGAAAACACACCCGCACGGACACACCTGCACAAACACACACTCACACTCACACACTCACACACTCACACACTCACACACTCACACACTCACACACTCACACACTCACACACTCACACACTCACACACTCACACACTCACACACTCACACACTGACACACTCACACAGACACAGACACAGACACAGACACACACACAGACACACACAGAGACACACACAGAGACACACACAGAGACACACACCCACACACCCACACACACACACACACACACACACACACACACACACACACACACACACACACACACTTGGACGTCAAACCAAAACGCACGCCCCATGCCAAACAGGCGGCCGGGTTCGCGGTGAATATCTGGCCCTGCGAGCCTTGCGGCAAAAATCGGCAGACGGCGCAAGCCGCGCCACTAGAAAACCGACCCAAGACCTTGATCCCATAGCCCCTCCAACAGACTTACTTCCTGAGTGAGTTGGCCAAAAATAAGTTCAAACTTTATGTTTACTACAAAGTCTTTGAACTCAGGAAGTGAGAAAAGGTGACCCCCCCAAAAGGGCGCCAACAAAGACTAAAGAGCCCCATTTCCTCCCAATAAGACCTTGGACCTGGGGGAGAGGGTTGACAAGCAGAGGACTTCTTGCAAACTGAACCGGCACCCAGGCAGCAGAAGCAGACCTCTACAAGCGCTCAACTGAGAGAAAGTTGCAAGGGTGCCCATTGCGAGGGCCATCGGTTCGTTGGAGACTTGAACGCCATGAGTCATGAGGGAAAGAGAAGGTAATTCTTTGGCCCCTCTCTTGCCACACACACACACATCCCCATGGTTGGATGCAGCTTGAAACTTTTGCGTCAACTGATTGCATTTGATAGCGCCGTTTTGTTCAGAATGGTTCTCAGTGGTTGCACGCCTACTTGCAACATGTAGAGGGTCACCCATGCTGCCGGCTTATCAGGAGATCCTGAGCATAGGTGGCCTTTTGGAAAATAGATGGCCCTGGTAAATGGAACAAAACGCATCTAAACCAGTGCCATCTATGTCTAGCCAACCGAACCTAAAAAGAACACCTATGATCCTGAGTTGGTAATTTGGATTTGGACTTGAACCACTGGCTCTTGTAGAGGGTAAATGGGTTTCCACCAGATGAGCAAGCTGAAGGGGGAGGGGCGTCGGGGTCCCCCTCCACACAAAAGGAAGACTAGGGGTCGCCATGAATGGACTTTCAACTTCCCCAGGTGAGAAATGTAGGAATCTCGGACCAAGTTGGCCAAGACTTGGTTGCTTTTGGAGGGCACCCCTTTTTTTTGGGGGTAGTGAGCTGTTGGTCTCCTGTTTGCTTGTTGGCGTCCCTGTTGGTTCCCTTGTTGGTTGGTACCCTCTTCGTTTTGACTCGGGGAGTGAGTCACTACCCACCCGCGTCCGCCTGCACCTTGCTCCAGGAAGGCATCCATGAGCGCAGATCTGTCAGCTGCCCATGGCTAAAACAAACGCAAACCGGGTTCCTTAAGTAAACATGGTGAGGGCTTCTCCACAAAATACGGTTGGGAGTGGTTTCCCTTCAATTCATCATTTGGGTATGGCTCAATATTAAAGAGCTGGCGATACGTGGGTTTTAGTCTTTGGTTCCATTTATCAAGGTGCCATTTTGGTACCACTTTTTTGAGCCGCAGCCATTTCAAAGGGTAAGTTTGAGGATGTCAGCTTGGGCTCTAGGCGGCAAACCTTCAGTGGAAACAAACACACCCTCTAGAAGAGCAGAATGCAACCCAGTGCTTCCAGTTGCCACTGCAGGCAACCAGAGTTATCGCCACCTCTAGGCTTTACATGTTGGCTTTCCCTGGTTACCTACTACAATGGCAACTGAAAGCACTGACCTAGTTTGCGGTTTGCGTGCGCTTTCTATTGCTCGTGTAATTTGAGTCACGAGCAATAAACTCACCATGCATCCTAAGTCAACCCTAGCTTAGGAAGGTCATCATTTCTGCGATGGCTTCTGGCTGCTGACCAGGGTTGATGACTCTTCATGGCTGGGTGCCCAAAGGACGATGGGGTGGGCTGTAAAAAAATGCCTAAGACACCGTCCCGTGTTGCTTCCTACAATGCTTGGATAAGCTTGGGGTTGTTTAGCACCCAGCTGATCATACAGTCGTCCCAAGTGGACGCCTCTTCAAGCCCTGTCACTTGTTCTTCGCCTCCTGCCAGCGGTCGTTGGGCCAAAGCTGCAGTCGTACCTCTTTGTTTCTCTGAAGATTGGCGCGCAGGGGGCAAGTCCATGAACAACGTGGATGCCACTTCCTGTTTCACCAAACCTTCCCAACCCTTCGTATGGTAGCAAACAACGTTGCTTCTTCCAGCCCCCTGCTAAAAGTGGTTAAGCCAAAAAAACAAAAACTAACAACATGCCAACAACAGTGAAGACACAATATGCGCATGGCTGTTGCAGCTGCTCTATATGTCACTTGTCTGGAAGATGGATTTTAATTGGGGGTTTTGGGTGTTCATCATTTACATGGGGCCTTACATGGGAATTTACCTTCGTGCGCATTTTTCCTGGGTCTCCTTACCCTCCGGTCTCATCCCCGATCCCAGGTGGGTGGGGAAGCCCCAAGCACCCCCCATGTCGACTGGGTCTCTTTGAAGGGTTGCCCCTGGGCAACCACTGTGGATGGACAAAATCTTGCACCACCTAAGAAACCCTGGAATGATTCGATTCCCCTGTAAATGCCAAAAAACAGAGCGGTGTCCCATGATTTCAATTTGGTGCAGGATTTCGTTCATCCACAGTATCACATCAACTGGCCCAAGAATGGTCCCGCAACCATGCCCAAGCAAGAATTGAAGCGTTTGGGGCTTGCTGCCATTCCCTTGATGCTTCCTTTCGACCGGGCGTCGAAGAAGCACGGCTCACGTGAGGGGACTCAGGACCCAAGTCGCAAAAGTCACAGAACGGTGCCGGGCATCCATCCTCTTCTCGCTCCCTAAAAGGACACCACTGTGAGTTATGGCCCCATAAAAAAAAGGCTCAGCAAGGTGAGTGGTACCAGGTTTCTGCCTGAATTGAGACAACACCCAAACACCTGAGATTATCTAACCAGTTGCCCAAGCCATGTTCCCTTGGGCTCCCCCCACCACGGCTCAGGGGCCAAACCGAGGCAACTTAGCCAAGGTAAGTCCATTGTCTTGTAAATAAAACTGGCCTGGAACCTCAGAAGCAATCCATGTTTCGAGGAATTTCCTTTTGGGGACCCTTGTGTAAATTCCAAGTGGTCCAGCAAAAGGAGGTCCAAACAAGGTTTATTTTGTTTGGTCTACCTGCGGGACATGAGTGGGGTTACGTCAACAAACTATGTATTTGATTGGCTTGCAGTAAGCCGAAGCTTTTCTTTGGCAGGGATCCCAGCAAGCCAAAGGTAAATGGCACACACACACATAATTACACACCATCACCCTTCCATCTTATCCACCAGGGTGTTTAGCTAGGTCCTGCAGTAGAGGCGTTAGAATAAGGGTACCCTTTTTTCTGGTTCGCCTATTTTAGTAGGGGGACCCAAAAACCCAAAAAGCGACGGTAAAAGTTGGCACCAATTGCTGGGGTTCAGCGAGCCGGGGATCCCATGAACACATACGCCCAAGCCGGGCTATAGCCATCAGGCCCCGGGCCGCTTTGAGGTGCCGCTGCGCCTCCCGTTTCAAGGGCAGCGGCAAGACCTGAGGAAGCGCAGAGCTTCTGGCAGCTGCGATGGGCAGTAGTTCTTCCATTTGGTTCAGGCCCCAGGAAAAATATGAATAAATAAAAATGTACAGTAGTGATGAACTCCTTTTCAAAGTGACAAGGGAAAATAACAATATTTTAAGCAAATGGAGGAGTTGGGCAGTGGTTCCAGGGGACACTTCCATTTCCATTCTTTCCGGAGAAAACCATCAGAACCCCAGGGGAAACAGCTGGTCTTTAAAAAGAAAGATGGTTGAAAAGAATGGGGAATCACCCCCTTGAGTAGTGCAGTAGTTGGAGTCTCAAAGCGGGGTCATTACCCAAAATTAAAGAGTTTTGACCAGAGTTATGACCCCTTTTTCTAGGGGTCATGGAGACCCTGGGTAGTTGGAATGACCTTCATAAACCGTCCAACTGGTGGTTTCCTTTATTCGGCGGGGGCCAAAGCCTCCCACGCTCCCGACCTATCATAGCAGCAAGGCTTGGGAGCCCTGCAAAGTAGAACCCATCCCAATGTTTAGCCCTCATGACTCATGATTCACCAACCCAGGGATGGGGGGGGGGTTCGATAAGGCCAAGAAAAAACGACTCTTCTGGTCTTCTTGCTTCCTCTGTGTTTTTTTCGCGTTTTTGCTTGCAGGGCGCAAGCAAAAGATGCAGGGCGCAAGCAAAAGAAGCAACCAGAAACGCTGCAAGCAGAAACCATGGCTCGGCTGTGCGGGAAATGCTTTCGAGAGGCCGGGGCAAGGAGTTTCGCTCGCATGCCTGTCGTGGCTTTCGAAAAGCTGCTGCACTTGCAATGTTCGGGTTGCATCTCCCAGACACACTGCAAACTGGTGCCAAATTCTGAGGATCGGCGTTGCCATCTTTTCGTGTCAGAACCATCCAACAATCGGAAATGAGGGATACCCAAGTAACAATCCAAGCAAGGATGTGATGGCTCTGTTTCAGGGTTGCTTTGAGGCGCCCCAGATCATCCCCAAAGAGGTCTCGCCTCGTTGCATACAAGTCAATCCAAGGATTGTCGGTCCGAGCAGGCACGTCCCATCTCCTGGCGGACTGCTGCCACCTGGCCCGCGAATTCCAGCCTGTACATCGAGATGCCGGTCTTCACCGTCTCGTCTACGAGAAGCGTGTCCAAGCGCTTGACAATATCGCTTTTCAGAACCTCCGAGGAGTAGAGCTCGAAGCACCGCAGCTGATCCCGAGCAGCATGCTCAACGTGGCATCGCCGAACAAGTCCAAAACGGCGACCGCCAAAAAATCGCGACGAGCAGAGCTCGGAACTCGGAGTAGGGTACCAGCATAAGCGCGAACGCGCTGGGGAAAACGTCCAGAAACCGGGGCCGATTTTTTTTGGGGGGGCCCTTCAAAAAAAAGAAGCTGGGGATAAATGGTAACCTCTATGGCCTCCTCTATGCGTGCTTCGGTTTTTCCCCTCTTGAAGCGGTCAGAGCCAAACCCTTGGAGACCCAGATGCCCAAAGGGGATCCGGTGGCATCATGGCTTCCCTTTACTGGTGGGCCAACAAAAGGAAGTGCGTCCTTGTTCCCGTTGCCATTGGGCAAGCATTCCACCTTGGCTTACGGAAACCCATCATTTTGGGACAAGTCATTCTTCCTCTTTTCTTCTAAGGAGAAAAACCTCGTCTTTTGCTTGGTTTCATAGTGAACCCCAAAAGCACACCCCGACCATCCTGCAGTTCCCCATCCAACGAAAGCCCCGGCCTGGAAACCGCGACGGCTTCACGAAACCCGCTCGGCTCCGAGTCCCGGGCGTAGCGGCCCCCGCCTCCGGAGATCTTCCGGATGAAGTCCTCGAGCCTCGAGGCGTAGCCCTGGCCGAGTCGGCCCAGTCCAGTCGGCCGGGTCCGTCGGGCCCCCCGAAACCGCGGGGGCGCGGAGGCCCTGGACTTTTGGAGGGGAAGCAAAAGGATCACCAAGGATCTTGATCTTGGCCAAAGAAAGGGGTACCCTCCACTCCAATAATAATCGCTTTTCAGATACTGCTTCATAAGCCTACCCAAGCATATGACCTCGTTTTAGCTTGGAGACCTCAAACTTGGCTTGTCAAGCTTAGGGCGCATGCTGGCATCCCCCGACAGGATCTAACAGGCTGCACCGCTGGCAGCACCTGGGTCTAAGGGGCGCCCCCCTTGTATATTCTCCCTAGGGAGATGTGATCTTTTTATATGTGCGAGAAAAAAAAGGCGGGTCCCTCTGAAGGAAATGCGCGAGACATGTAACCTTGTACATTTTCAACTTAGGGTCATGTCCCAAAGAGCTTGCAGAAACCAACGCCCTGAGAGGTGGGTGTCTTTCTGTGGTTTCCCTCCTGTGGGACTTTGAATCTAGGCTGGAATTAGGACCCAGCAAAATATATATATATATATATGTACATGTTTATCTCTTTTTTTTGCATGGTTAGTGAAAAAAAACAAGAAAAAGAAAAAAGACAAAAGGGAGAGCTGATTCTGGGGACTTTGAATGTGTTGGACGGCATTGGCCTCCAGACTCGCGGCCTCGGCTGTAAGATCGAGCCCCACCACAGCTCGCCGCCCATTTTCTCTGAAGCCCGTTGGGTGTGCTCCGTTGCCTTTCCGAGGCCCCCCCCCCAAAAAAAAACACGCTTTGGTTGCTGTTGATCCCTCTGCTTAAAAGTGGACCACTTTTTGCAGCTGTAGTGGAGATCCCTTCATTTCCCAAACAGTTAAAGTCTAAAGATCCAACCCAAGAGCAG